GTAGACAAGTTAATACATACATTCAGTCAGTTATGCCACTTACTCAACGGCTAGCTGGTTCCGTTATTATTGATTATATATATATATATATATATATGACAACACGATAAATAATTCTATCTAAAAATCGTGGTTTATTTATAGCAAGTACAACGTCTTAAGCATGCACAAGTGAATAAGCATAGGCTGTTATCTGATACAACCTAACTTGGCAACCAAGCCATGACGTAAAAGCTAAACAGGGTTTTCCAGATTGGCGCCTCTCACTTGGCTGGTTTCCCTAGGTTCGTCACGTGATGTCGAGACTTGTAGAAATATATATATATATATCTACAGTACATCCTCAGTTCTCACACCAAACATAGTTCAGTGTTTATTCAGAAGAGATTAACATTGTAGTGATCGTGACTGTTTGACAAAATAAGAACGTGTAAAGAAACTATATCGTACGAGTGTCTTATTTCACAACTTTCTATCCAGTAAATCAACACTAACTTTCAGGTTATTTGTTTCTTTCGAGCTACAACCGAAGGTTATTTGGAACTATCGCCATGGCTTTTATGATGCCTGTCATTAAGCCTGAATTTGAAATATATCCAAATCGGATAAAACGAATACCAAGAAAGGCCACAAAGAGTATGCCTGTCACTCCTAGATTGTCCAATTCTACTGAAATTGAAGTGGAAGGTCGTCTAATAAGAGTTATTGCCAGTAAAAGTTTTAGCACTGGCAAATGTCGACATAATTCCCACTGTACTTCCGAAGTTCCTACACCAAAATCAGCATCACGTATGTCACTCCATAAGTTCCACACCAGATTAGTAGACAAGTTGAAGAGAAAGCTACATCTACAGGACTCTGGATATAACTCGGAAGATGAAGTGTCAGCCTGTGATTCCACTACGAACAAAACAACTACACATTCGTCGTAGTTTAATGTCTTTGGACTATAATTATTGTAAATATGTGTAACTTTGGTTTGGTAACAATGCATAATATGTAAATAATTAATTTCATCCAGCACGTTTGCCAAACAGTCATCATCATCATAGTTTTCAGTTTAAAATGCTGACCAAACTGCGGATGTTTTGTAAAAACCAAGAGGTAAATCAGAATTTCGTTCAGAGATAAAGGAGGTCAACATATGGTTGCCATAAAATTTCATTTTGTAATTTTGTAAGAATTCTGATGTGTGTAACCATTTTGTTTTTGCACTGTTTGTAAAATTTAAATGCATAATATTGTTACTTTCTAGAAATTACGTTTATTAAAGACTCATCACAAAATTACGTAAAGGAATATATTTTCGTATTTATAAATCGTTTTGTATAAAAATACAAATAAAGGTTTCATTTTAATTCCACGGTTGTTTGTTTAGTCTCTCGACTCAATTATGTTGTAGAAAGCTAATTAAAACGAGTTAGATTAAAATCGTTCAAAATATTTGCAATGACATTTCACTTACTTGGAAATTTTTTGTTTTTTGTAATACTATTATATTAAAAAATATACATATTTATGTAACATATAATGCTTATACATTGATATAGAAAAGCTATGATATAAGATATAAGAAAATCGAAATGTTAGGTTCGTATATTAAGTTTAAACAAGTTAGTTAATAATCTAAATACTGATATACAGAAACACCGATTTTTAGTGACGATCGCACTTTTAATGCTTAAAACTGGTCATTTTTAGATACTTCCTAATGAGACTTTGGCCTACTAGTATGGACTAAAGAATAGCACTGTTGGACCAAAATATTATTGCAAAGAAATAGGTTTTATCACAGAGTGGCTTTTCCTAATCCTTGTTAATCTGGCAGGGTAACCCAATTACCTTAAGAGGCCAGATTGTCCTGACACCTAATTTGGGGTAGAGGCGATAATTACTAAACGTAATATAGACAGAATACTTTCATTGGCTTGGGTCACCAATTTTTTTACTGCTTAGAAAAGGCCTGGCTTGAAAAAATATTTTAACTAAAGCTAAAAAAAAATAATATAAAACTGAGCATTTTGTCAAATAGGATAACACAACGTTCGATACCTCGAGTTTCATAGAACATGAACATAAAATTTATAGAATATTTTTTTGTGTTTGTACTTTAATACATGAATAAGTAATATAGAGAAAGATAAATGAAATATCGTGTTGTATACAGTCGTGCCGGTTGGAAAGTTTCCAAGAAGACTCAAGTTCGCTTGATTTCCCGCCAGACATTTTTGATTTCCTGCCAGCTAGCTAGCTCTCTGAAAAAAATGCCTGTAGGCGTCCAAGTGATGTAAGATTTCTGAAGACATGCGTAGATGAAGGTTCGAATTTTTCGCTTTAAACAGGCTGAGACTTCTGGTATGCACAAAAGTCAGCAAATAGTCTACCCAGGCATCACTATTTCTAGCACTTCTGACTAAGTTGGAAAAAGAAGCATTGCATAGCCAAACGTACTGTTTTACCAAGTTATTGCTTGTCACCATGTTTATGTGACAATGTATCAGCAGACGCATTGAACATTTCTTTACTACACTCGATAAATAATCAATGGACAAGTGATGCCAAAAGTATCTCTGTCAAAATGTTTGTTTGAGATATTCGTGCAATGTTTTGAAAGGGCTTTCTGCACTAGCTATCCCTAATTTTGGATTGGTAAGCCAGAAGGAAAGCAATTGGTCAACAGCAAATACTTCTCTAATCAAATAGCGGATTTTAATATTCACTTTAATAATGCTCCTAAACTTTTAATTACAAGGACGCGCAGCACGAACCCTCAGAGTTAAAAATCTGGCACATTGACCACAAGAGCATATCAACAATAATCATACCACAGGTAACAATAATAGATATTACAAATTAGGTAAAATGACATAGGTAAAGATGCATGAAGAGTAGTCTGGCCTACCTCATTGCTTAATTAAGGGATGTTTGTCCGTCCTCTCAACTTTATCACTTTACACATATGAAAAGGAAACGTTTGTACCAAATACTGAGTTACATTGATCTGCACGAACCTTTGAAGTATAATGTGTAAAATCTCCAATAGTTGAAATAATAAAGCATCAACAACATTCTGGTTATGAAGGATAAGACATGTCTATACATGATATCACGGAAATTAAATAAATAAGTCCCCATGGAATTTTCTAACGTTATTCTTATATTGCCTAACATTCTTACCAAAATCAACGTTTCAGGCCTAAACCCTTCATCAGTACACAGATCGTGCAGGATCTTTAAGAAATATAAGAACATTAGAACGAAAACATGTCAATCAAAAGATATTTTTAAGTACGGTAGAACTTAATAGTAGGGATCGACAAGGATTCCAAATAATTCACTAACTGAAAAACCACCCTATCGAATACCTAAGCGAAAAACCGACCATTCAAAGCATGGGTTACGATATATTATGCGCTAAAAATAATATGCTAAAAAGGTCGCTAACATTTCCGGTATAGCAATTCCAAGGTTTCTAGAACAGCAACTTTTTCGTTTACTATCTACTTATCTGATCACGTCAGCGGGACTAACGCCTAGACGGCTCGGACTACAACATTTCTTCAGCTTATTTGACTGGTCTTTGGGTATCCGCTTTTGATATGATGATACAAATCCATGTATATACAGGCATCATATAAATGGTAAACATATTATACACCAACTTAAATATATTTGGAACCCAACGGATGGCACTACATATCAATGGATAGACACGCAACATTTTCTAAAGGTAAAGTATATACCTTATAACATACAAAGTAAAGAAACAAGGGTATTGGTCAGGTGGAAAATGAAGTTTTATAATAGATATTAAAAACACGGTAAGGCCAAAAAACATATTTAATACGGACGTTTCTGAAGTTCCTTAAATTCCATCATCAGACTTATTAATATCTCAAAAAAGTTAGATCATAATATTCGAAATATACGAAAACTCGTTCAATGCTAATGTTCGTTCATAATATTCTAACTACAAAAAACATCCACCTGATGAATGAGTATTAAAAAATTATGAATTTGAAAATGATGTAGGGATCCTGCTACAAAAAGTAGTGAAACAAGAATTAAAACCGTAATCACAAATTTATTATATTTAATCCCTGCCTTGGCAACTTTATACACTTATCTATAGGCCAAAGTAAGGATTAAATTTTATAAATTGTGATTGTGGTTTTAATTTGTGTATAGTATAACGCTAATGGTTATAGAAATAATTTAAAATTCACATTCGTAATTATGTGTAAGTGTATTATGTGTATTTTGCTTGCTGAGTGATAAAAGTTATAGCTATTAGGGATATGGATATACTGAAATTTTATAGATGTTGTGTCCATTCCATGGACATATAAAAACTGAACAAATAAACAGGGAAAAAAATAAACTTTTAACGGAAAGTAGGGATTATTGATTATTTGTAGAATTGCTATAAGAAATATCCCAAACAAAGTAAATGCTGCAATAAAACATACACAAAAAAGTAAAGTGATACTATTTGGATAGATATTAAAACGATTTTCAACCCCTATTTTGGTTGGCAGTGTGATCTGTATAGCTAAATGAAGCAATTTAAGTTTGCCAACCAAAGTAAGGATTCAAAATCGTTATTAAAATCTATCCAACTAGTATCACTTTACTTGTCTGGTTACTTTTTTATAGCAGCACTTATTTCGTTTGGGGTACTTCTCATAACAATTCTGCGAATAACCAACGATCCATACTTTCCGTTAAAATATATTTTTCTTACTATTTATCTATATTGTTACCACGCACCATTTGCTTTTCTAAATGTACAATATTTTTAGCCATTTTTTACGAGATGAATATGTTTATTTATGAAGCTAGTTTCTTTTAGGTAAATGTGTAATACACATACCTCATATAAAAAAAATATCAAACTCAATTCAAACAACAATAAATGTATTTCTTCTACCATGATGAAAATCTAATAAACACCTTTTGATTAGTGTCGTTATATTTGTTTATATTTATTTGCTGGGATTCATATTCTTTCTTGTTTAACACAATTTAAAAAACAAATTAATTTAATTAATGAAAACCATTAAGAAATATACTGTATTTAATTGTATCATAAAATTGGACATTTCTCCAAGTTGCACTTCTAACGTTTTTTTAATATATTCTTGTGTAAATATGTCTTGCTACTAAAGTGAAGTTTTCTTCGCGAACATGTGGTTTAAATTAATTCCTTAATATTGTTTTTTTTTACTGTTTGAAATGTGTGTTAAATAATATAGAGAGAAAAAAGTAAAAAATCAGAAAATATTTTATAATATTTCGTAATAACTTTAAAAGTATATATATGTGTGTGTGTGAATTATTATTCTAAAAATGATTACTTCATAATATTGTAAATTAAATGTTTAATATACGAAATATTGGAACCACGAGAACAGCGGAAAATAAACAAACACTGTAAATAGAATGTTAATAGACAAAGATAGGATAAACTAAACTCAGCTGTATCGCTATATGTAAATTCTTGCCTGTGCTATTATGCAGGAATGATACAATTTCCATCCCTACTGTCTTGTTTGCATTGTTTTTGAAGGACTGATATTAGTCATTCCTACATTTCTTGTTTGCTTGCCTTTTTAATGCAGCGTTTCAATAGACATAGGAAGGTTTTAGTTATAACCAAGTTCTAAATACAATGAGATTCCAACTGTAATATTTATTGTTTATCTATTATTGGTTAGTAATTCTTGTTTCACCCTGTACATAAGCTTTTTTAAGGAATATAAATTTTTTGTAAGTAAGCTAACTTCAAAGGGTAATGATAACATCGTTTACACTTGAATTATGAATTTTCAAATTACTACTAGTTATTAATAATATATATAAAAGACGATACTCCGTTTGAAAGTATGTCACCTTAGTGAATTTGTTTGACACTATTGTTTTGGTTTTTGAA